AGATCACTATCACAGCCAATGGTAGCTTTGATACATCTTGCAGTGYACTTATAAGTGATATGCGCCTCCCAGAGTRTGGCAATGGCAGATGCATAGCAGGTATAACTGCAAGGCTCTTTGATGCCCCTTGCCTCTACAACATCATCCTAGGAAAAGACTTCCTCAGGCTAGCAGATATTGACTTGTTCTTCAAAATGTGTCATCCTGATCACTTAAAGAGCCCACAACACATCATGGCAGAGACCCTGTGGCTAACAGATATAGTTGAGTTATTGGATGGTGGTTACATGGAATGGTACTTCCCMTCTGGCAAGTCCTTCYTTGCCAAGGATAAAGAACCTAATAACTCAGCTGTCACCATCAATTCCTTGCAATCAACTATACTAGACACAAAATATCAAGAGGTGACACCTGCTCAAGTTGAAGCACAAMAACAACACATTGACAAGGAAGAGCAAGTACTCTTCCAACAGGTGCTCGCATTTGATGGCAAATTAGGCAGAYGCCCTAGGGCAGAGGTCCACATAGACCTTACTCCTGGCACAAAGCCAGTTYGGAAGAAGCCTTATCCAGTCCCTTACAGACACAAGGGGGTCTTTGCAAAAGAATGCAAACACTTCTGCAATGAAGGCTTCATTCAGGTGATCATCAACTCCAGATGAGGCTTCCCTGCCTTTATCATCCCTAAAAAGGACAGCCAAGTCCACTGGCTYGTCAATCRAAGAGAGTTAAACAAGCTAGTTAAGAGACCCAAATTTGCCTTACCTCAAATACCAGGCATAATGAATTGCTGCAAGGGATACACACACTTCACCAAGATAGACTTGTAGTAAATGACATTCTATTTCTTTGTCCTTGATAAGGAAAGCAAAAAAATTTGCACGCTCACAGCTGAGATTTGCAACTTGAAGTGCCTGTGCCTCCCTATGGGGCTCAAGTCTGCTCTGGACTATTTGCAGGCCTACATTACTAAGATTCTATGGGGACTTGATGTSGAAGTCTATGTCAATGATATGGGCATTTGGACTAATGGATCTTTCCAGATTCACATCACCTTGGTTGACCAGATATTAGAGCAACTTGCCACCAATGACATGAAGTGCAACCCCCTCAAGTGTGAATGGGCAGTCAAATCATCAGACTTCCTTGGATACTAGATGACTCCTGAAGGTGTCCCTCCTTTGAAGAAGAAGGTTGAGGGTCCTCTGGATGGGAACCCCAAGGAATCAATTGCAGGTGTGGTCCTTCCTTGTTGGTGCTGTCAACTACTACAAGTCCATCTGGCCTTGCCGCTCACATGTACTGGCTCCAMTCATAGTACTGACAGGCACAGGCCCTTTTTGCTGGACTGCAGCCTGTGACCAGACCTTCAAAGAAWCRAAAGCTCTCTTAGTACTACATGATGCCATCAAAGTCTTTCCAGACCTAAACATTGTTCCCTTTGATATTTACACAGACACCTTTGATTACCAGCTAGGCGCCGCTACATTTCAATGCAGCAGGCCCATTGCCTACTGGTCCAAAAAGCTCCACAATACACAAAGAAACGRCAGCACTATGGAAAAGGAACTACTCACAATCACCATGATCCTTTACCTCCAAGAGTATCACCACATGCTTTACACCAGTGACAAGCTCAACATTTCCACTGACCACAAAAACTTAACCTTCAGAACACTATCTATCCCTCACATTCTCTGATGGTGCCTAGCAACTGAGGATTTTGACCTCACCTTCCAACACATTGAAGGCAAGAACAATGTCCTGATGGACTGCTTCTGTTGTGTTCCTTGCATGGCAAGGCCCACTGTCGGGGATAAAGAGCAAAAGATGAATGATCAGGAGAAAGGAACGCTTGTGGATTTCAATATATTAATTBTATAAGTAGACCACAAAGATTTCTTCTTCAACAGCATGGATGTGGAAATAACAGAGTGCCTATGGAATCTACCTTTGCTGACAGAGAAAGACAATCCTTTAGACTTGACTAACATAGCAACGCATCAAACAACAGACACTCAATGCCAGTATCAACTCCAAAAGGAACCTCAAAAACACTCAGTTTAAAAAATTGGCTCAAGTGGAGTCTTTTGCCACCAAGATAATCCTTCTGCCAACTGGAAGATATGTCTTTGACGACAGTCACTGATACACCATGTCCTGCATTGGTATTGTCTAATACTAGGCCACTGTGGTGCAATACACCYGTACAATACTATCAATACACAATTTCATTATCCAGGTTTAGCTACTCTGTGCAAAGAGTTCTACTGCCTAGATAACTGCCAGTTATACAAGCAGCAAGGCAAAGGGTACAGACATTTGCCTCCACGATAAGCCTTTGTAGACCTGATTGATCCATGCAAGGTTTACATTCAGCAGGGGAAGGACATAACTTTCAAAGCCTTGACCTACATAGATCCAGTGTCAAACCTCCCAACAACAAAAGTTMACGTCACATAGACAACCAACTTGCTAACTGTTGACTTGCACAATACCCCGGGCCAAACCAATACGTTCACAACAATGATGGGGGTGAGTTCATTGGCTGGGAATTTCTAGAASAGCTCACCCGGTTTAGCATCAGAAGTGTCCCCATGACAGTGAAGAATCCCCAAGCAAACACCTTTTGCAAAAGAGTACACCAAACAATAGCAAAAATTCTATGAGCAGTGATTCACTCCAAGCTTCTGAACAACATCATGGAGGCAGAACAGATAATAGACAATGCCCTCACCACAGCTATGCATGCCACCAGGTGCACTGTTAGTGCCTCTCTAAGCACTTCTCCTGGAGAAATAGCCTTCAGTCAAGACATGATCATGGATATCCACCATCTAATGGCAGACCTGGCCGTCATTAGAGACAAGGCGCAGCACATCATTGACAACAACCTCCAAAAGGAAAATTGAAAGCAAATCAACCACAGGTTCCAAGGAAGCTAACAAGTCAACATGTGAATGTATGATCCTACAAAGCTCTYGGAACAACTGTATGCCCTTATCCTATCAAGGAATTTAACACCAATGGCACAGTTATCATTAGACTCAGTACTGATGTAACCAAGACTGTTCATATATGCAAGATAGTTCCCCACCAAAGCTGAGAAGAACAGGTGCAGTAGGAATAACATGTACTAKGTTCTATGGCAAACAATAGAACTAGCAACCAGTGATATTTCTGTTGGGGATAATGCAACAAGCACAAGTCTTAGTAGTCACCTGGTGATTGCGCAGAAACAAGAGTCATTAAGGGACATCCAAGGCAGCCCTGATGTCCTCTGATGACATCATGTCAGGTCCCAAGTCAGACATCAGAACAAAATTATATTACATTTGCTTTATAGCATAACCTTTTATAATCTATATTTTATCTAAAACAAACTTAATCATGTAGTTGGTGCACTTGAAACTTGGACCCTAAAAGTACAAGTACCAAATGGTTAGTATGAAGTACGGTACAGTACCAGTAATATGTACTTCAAGATACGTAGTAATTACATACCTGTAGCATTATTATTATTTGCAATGAAGAGCCTCTTTCTTCTGGTTCAATTGACTATTGATGCACATGGTTTGAAGAGCTACCATCAGCATAGAAATGGGCATATTTGCAGTTTCAATTTCATTCTTCAAATTTGATTACCCTATTGAGATACAGCATTCTTCACCTTCCTTCCTGCCATCTTTGAAAGATTTGAGTTTTTTCATTCGTAGAATTGACCGAATAGTGCAATGCAATGCATTTTATTTCTGCTAGCAAAAAATTGTTTTGATCATCATCTTCAAAAGTCAACACACAGTTAGAAACTAGGAAATCACGAGAGCTTAATGCTCAACTCTTACTTCAAAAAGAGAAAGTAGGGCTTCTATTTGTTGTTTTCTTTTATGTTTATTACTATGGTGAAGTCGAGAAGTCGAGAAGTCGAGTAATTCTATTTCCCATCAGGGGCAGGCTAATGCCATATCCCATAACTTGAGCACAAGCACCGTCCCAATTTGATTCGCACGAAAAAATGATTTGGCATTGCGTTGGGACTGAACCATCACAATTGTTGGTCCTTATGTGGACTAGCAGACGGTCGATCCTCGATGATCCCCGCAGTCGTGATTGCAAATTGAGTTTCACCGAGCGCTGTTGTGTTACTTTTGACAACAGCAATCTTTTTTGTGATAAGATGAGTTGGTTCTATCGCTTTTTCCCACTGGAAACCATTGCGATTGGTATTGCCTAGGCTAGATAATTCCGGTGATGGCATAAAATTAGGGATGTTCAAGGCTTCCAACAAGAGCCTTGTAGACACACAGTGATGCCAAGAAGTTCCTAGAGCTGCACGTACATTGCTTGGATGCTGTTCGGCATTTAGTCCAAATCCGGAGATATCATTCTTATTTTCACTGGAACGATTCTTCATTGCATTACTATCGACACTAGCAGCACCGACTTGATTGATCACAACGATGGCTAAATGGAGCTGATCTGCCAATCGCTTGAGCTTTTGTGCGCATTGAAAGATAGATGCAGCCCTCTGCGGCGCAGAATCTGTTCCGTAGTCACGTCGCATAGGTGCGGCGATACTATCCACGATCAGCAGGCGAACCGGGTATTTTCCTCGAACAGCGGTGTTGCTGAGAGATGTGTTGATGTCCGTAGATGCACCAGACTGAAAAAAAGCTTGGCCTGCATTTTGATTTCGAATCAGAATTTCGTACTCCAGTCCATCCAAAACTTGTAACAGTTCGTCGGTATTTTCTGGCTGGTGGACGGTCAGATTATTGAGAACGAGCTGGGTCGATTTGTACATGCCCATATCGTCTTCATCTCTGCTCTCGTGATTGTTACCGATCAATCTCCGTTGTTCGCTCATTTCTCCTAGTCGTTCCAGAGACATTTTTTTTYCCGTGTCTATGTAKATCGCCCCCTGATTGAATTTTGCCGCAGTCACGCAAAGCTGGAAAGCGAGCTGCGTCTTTCCAACTCCTGATCTCCCCACCAGTTCAGTTACCGTCGCCAACCGAACTCCCCCATTTAAAATACGATCCAGTGACGGCAGCGACGTCGGTAGATACCTCATCTTGCTACCAAAAGATATGGGATCGTTTTCATGTTGTTTCCCCTCATCTCTGTAWCYCGACATGCCCAAAACATTATCTGTATTTAAAGTTGTAGCACCGAATAGTTCGAGTGCAGAAATTGGATTCGGTGCGCATTGATTGCACACTCTGTTGAGCAATATTCCGACTTCTTCGTAGGTCAATATCGGGTCTAATGCCAACATTAGAGTGTACTTGGATAKGCGGAGAAGCTGCCCGATGGTCTTGATGTTATAAGTTGTCGTGGTAGACAATGATATTCCCGATCCAACTCCACGGCCACGGTTTTTATTCTTGCTTCTTCCCCTAGCATTGTTTCTAACACGGAAACCTTTCAGGCGTTTACAGATGTTGGCTTTGAGACTTTCAGGACCATCGTCACRGCCATCCAGAGGGGCTCGCGTAATGAGATCCTGAAACACCGAAAGGGGCAGCCGTGAAATCTTTCTATTAGAAGCGCTCATCGGTATTGTTCATGGTTCATGCGCAATCATATTCGCTTGATCGGACCAGAGTTCTCGAGCATGAAAACAATAGAAAAGCAACCAATCCCAGGAAATTGATGAGGAATACTCGTACTCGCGAACGTTCGGTGCTATGGTACGATACTGAAACAAATAGTCGTGTCTARGGAAACAATCGACAGAACAAAAGTATAWAAACTTAGAATCAGCAWMCWYSAGCATCGCATTTGTGCCCGAGCTGGTCTAAGGGGTTCGACTCAAGTTCGAATATATTCGTATGCGCGGGTTCGAATCCCGTCGAATGCATTTTGCTCCTCCATCGCGCTAGAAGGACTCAAAGGCCTCCAATTTTATCAACCTGATCATTCATTTCCACCGAACGGTATTTGTCAATCACTGGTTCCACAATGACCAAGGGTTGMGTGGTGTGTGGATCTCCAAATATCGTCCAGTGAAATTAAAATGAGACCAGACTAMAAAAATAGGAAACTGGTGAGAGATGCAAGGCTTTTAAATTGGCCAGAATTGATTTTGTTTGCAATGCATGTGGAAGCGGTGAAACCAACCAAAATTCCAGATTGATGATGTAGTAACAGTTTCTAATGAGGACAACTTGTTTCAATGGAGATGGGTCTGGAGTCCACTACAAATTAACAAGAAGTAAATTCCTCAACATCRCCAGATGCATTGCCACCAGCAGTACTAAGACCAAAGAGAGGAGAACATGTCTGCTGCTACTAGTAGTAGTACTAGCTAGTAGTACTATCTGCAGAGAAAATATGTTGAATAGTCCGGCAGCAATTTGATAAAAACACGTAGCATTCCCACAGTAAAAGCAGGAGGAATGATGCTTCTAGTGCTGGTGGTATTTGTATTTGTTAGAGCAATGGAGCTCAGCAAGAAGTGCAAGTTATGAGTTCCTGGAATCAATTCTTGGAATATACTGTCTTCAAACTTMTGGAATAAAATATGATGTCAGATGCAAATCGCTTCCTTTGTTGTTGGAGTTTTCATTCGCATTGTTAGTTCGCTCATGTTGGCGYGATGCAAATTAATTTCTTAGTAACGAGAGGATGACTTCAGCCACAAGTTTTTGCGTTGAGGACGAACAACAACGTTGAACACTCAAGAGAGGTGACAAATCCACATCGGCTATTCGTTTTGTCAGTTGGTCTCGTTCGACCCTCTAGGAAGATATTACTCGAGRGACATACMAGACGCCTTTGTTTACCCAACAAAAACCTTTGTCATAGCRGTCAATWTAACTGTAATATGCATGGAGACCATTGCCCTATACCATAATCGACCCGATCAGAAGTAGACGTCAATCGATAAAACAAGGSGCAATATCGGGTATTAAATTGTATTGTATTAGTTTTTGCTTTGTTTGGTTTAAACCTTGAAACCACGAGAGCGACGGCGACCACGGGCGCGTTCGAATTTTCTTCCATTGGATCGTACGTAAGGCTTGACTCCATCGTGGGTGTGGGGGTTGTTGACTGTAACTCTGTGTCCGAAGTGAGCAAGGGCTTCTCGCGACTTAGGTCCACGGAGCAAGACGGTGTTGGCTCCCTTAGGTGCCTTGAGGGCAAGTTGGTCGAAAGTCAAGCATTCGCCTCCGGCAGCAATGATTCGCTTTCGGGCGTTCTCTGTGAAACCTAGAGCGCATACCGACATCTTGGGGCATTCCAACATGCGGACATCATCGGTAACCTTACCGACAATGACGGCAGTCTTTCCTTCCTTTTTGCTCATGTACTTAGAAAGTCTGTGGAGACCAATTGGGGGTTGGTTAACCTTACTCATGTGAAGACGCTTCAAGACTGTCGCGCAGAACTTAGAGTCGGTTCTTCTTGCCAAGAACTTGTAAAGCTTGATCAAGAGTCGGTTGTAAGGATTCTTGGTCTTCACAACCTTCATGGAGCTCTTGTGCCCCGTACGGCGACCACCGGCCTTCAAGTCAATACCCATCTTTGCAATTTATTTTAATACTTAACACTGATATAGGAATACAAGGCAACACAACAAGGTAAGAATTGTGTCTCGATTAAAAAAGCAGTGTAATAATCGCCGACCTCGACACCATGCTCATCATCCAGACCATCAGCATCCCACCCGTCATGCTACAGCTAATCTCATGGTCAGTAACTATTTGAAAAGGCAGTCACCATCGTGGTGTTTAACCATTCGACTTCACGGACGTACCTCGTTACAAAACAATACTTGGTTGTCGTTAAAGGAGTAGTGCGCCACKGAACGACTTCTATTTGCTGCTTGAGAGTGTGCTAAAACCCATCTTTTTTGGTGTTCATTCCGGTCAGGTCCATCGAGTCGAAAAGAAAAAGTAAGAGGTAAGGGAGTAAAATAATTAACATACAGTAAAGCCTAAGAAAGTACTTTAAGACCTCCCAGATGCACGGGAACATTTTATTAACTAGACCTACTTCCTACCGTACGCGAACCCCTATTGGCTTAGTTGGAAATGTAAGTTGTCGTGAAGGTTATCGTCCGTCCGTATGTCGGTAAACCATGGTTGTTTGTGCATGACCTCGAGGTACCCGTACCGGTACGTACCGGTACTGGTAACGGAACGAAGAACGAAGGCAGATGTGTGGCATGAATCTGGAATGGGTTATGGGTACAATTAAAACGCTCAGTTTTTAGTAGTAGTAAGAAAAAATAGCACAAGAAGGTATGTCTCAGCCCTCAGATAGAGCTATTAGCAACATTTCCAGCCAACACATGTACTGGAATAACTTCATTATAATAAGAATAAGGGAATCTGGAAGTCCCAGATTGATCAGCCAAGAGGGTTTTATAAGGACGAGTCCTCCTCCACACTACTACTAGGAGTACTATCATTACTACTACTAGTAGCAGGAGCTTTCTTGCATGCTTTTTATTTGCTAACAAAGCACCAATGAAAATTAGAGAATCAGTTAGTTGGAAAGGGTTTTCTTTCTCTACAGAGAGATGTGTATATTGCTGGTTCTTTGTTTTGCCAGCAGGGAAACACTTCTGGTGGTGGTGCTGGCTAGTACTTGATTACTCTTCTTCACACCAAAAATTTGAAAAAGCTCATCTTTTTTCAATGGTCCATTCAACTGTCCTTTCTCACCCTCCAGAGAGAGAGAGAGAGAGAGAGAGAGCAATAAGCAACACTATCCTGCCACAAATTTCTTGCCAGAAGAATAACTTCATCATATTTAGAACAAAAAGATCTGGAAGTTGAAGATCAATTGGACAAGTTGTTGGTGAGAGGAAGAAACAGGCCACTAATAGCAGTACTATGATTTGTCCCTGAATGAAGAAAAACAATACCACCACCAACACCACCACCAACAACACCAACACCAACACCAACACCACCAGCACCACCAACACCAAGAATACCTCCAATTTCACATCAACTCTTCCATATTAAAAACCAATACTGCACCATCCCCTCCATTAGTAGATTAAATTCAAGGGGGCCCAGAAGTTTTGGATTAACACCAACACCAACACCACCAGCACCACCAACACCAAGAATACCTCCAATTTCACATCAACTCTTCCATATTAAAAACCAATACTGCACCATCCCCTCCATTAGTAGATTAAATTCAAGGGGGCCCAGAAGTTTTGGATTGATTGTCCCTATTGCACAAGTAGTAGCAAAAAGGACCAAAAGCAGAAGGATCCTCATTACAATCAGCAAAACACCAGACTCTTTCCTTCCATCACCAACAGAACCAATGTGTTACTAGAACTCTATATTACAATAAATTTGAGGGGATTTGGAAGTTAATGGACTACTATTGTGCAAGTGGAAGCAACAAAAGAATATCACTGCAAAGAAGTATCAAGTCCTTGATCTTTGGTTGCAAGTGAAGGATATTTCATTCCCTCCAGAATTTGYTTGGATTGATGAAAATGAGGACCAGCTACAAAAACTGAATGAAGATGAGATTACAATTATGGACACTTCATTAAGACRAAGGGAGAGAGCTAAAAAGCAGCAAAAGTCTCTATCCTTTATTGTCAGTATCACTGAAGAGGAAAGAGYTTTTTCCAATATTCCTTGGGAGGTCTTGGAGGTTGCCAAGGTAGCAATTGGAGCAGTTGGACCTGCCATTGGAATGAAAACAATTTTGGGAGTAATAAAACTCCCCAACCACCAAGAACCAGACAGTGACAGAGTAGTTAATGCAAACTCAGATTTTTCAAAGGCCACCACCTGGTGGTTTGCTAAGAATCTCTAAGAGCAGTGAAGAGGGCATTTGCTACAAATGGAGTTTTGAACATAATTTGAGTTCACTGAGGAGGTCTACACTA